AATCGTTTGCAGATCATCGAGATAAGAGATATTTGAAACCACAATCCACGTCGCATGTTGAATATTAACTCACATAAAAAAATACATATTAACTCACAATTAACAGAAAGGAAAAAAATACTAGATGATAATATTTAAAAAGGCAATTGATCATAAGCAAGAAATCATCTGCTAAGTCGCGTTTCGTTTTGTGTTTGTTTTGTCATTTATTTTTTGCTCATTACACATAATATTGTCGGTATCTAATACGTGTCCCCGGTATTAAAACATCGTCCTCCAATTATGTTTCAAATTAAGCTTGGTATATTTGTTATCTCGGTCGTCGTTTCCGTTTATTTTAGACATCATAAAGTTGCTCGCGATACGCCATTTTCTTCTCGTTAATGATGTAAATTTAATGATTTGATGATTTAGTATAATAAACAGTTCAGCTGAAAATAATTTCGGCATTTTAACATCGTGGTAGGGGCACGCAATAGTTTTCGATGTTGCACTAATGGGCAGGTCCGTCCGAATAAGTACCATGACCTCACAGAAGACAGGCACACGAACAGCCAAAAAGTGACAAGAAAGCGATCGACTGCACGGTACTACCATGGCAACCAATAACAAACTATTGACATCACTACATAGTATAAAACAAAGCCATCGTGCTGTCTGTCTGTCCCTATGTATGCTTAGATCTTTAAAACTACGCAACGGATCTTGATGCGCTATTTTTTACTAGATAGAGTGATTCACGAGGAAGGTTTACATCTATAACACATTGCACCCGTGCAAGGCCGGAGCGGGTCGCTAGTTTACCTATAGTTCTATCCTATTTAGTTAAACCGGTATCAATTGCATTTAATGTGTGTTTTACAAACAAAGAGTACCGGTACATGGGATTAAACGCATAGTATATTATATTTTGTTATGCTAAAGAAGTATTCTTACGTGAGAACATAATTATATGTACACACATAATTTTTAACGGTTTTTTTTCTTTCATCTTTTTTTTTTTCTTTTTTAAATCTACTAGTATCGACAATTTTTAAAGGACTATCTCATTATTATCTGTCTAGTCTTCCAGAATTCTCAGTTTTAATTACTTTCATAAATTTATATATTTGTCCAAAATAAATATTTTTCAGCAGCGTTTAGTGTTGTTAATAATAAACTAACCTTTAGGGTATTTAAGCTATTTGTTTAATTTATCTGATAAATAGCTCAGGAAGCTTGATGGCTTAAGTTATTTCCACCTAATGAGGTATCATTAATGACCTGACATGGGTTCATATAATATATTTCAAATTAGTAATTCAAACCCAATTCAATAGAAATAAATTACCTCTAATAATTTAAAGTTTATCCTTTTATGCCTAGCTGCCACTAACTACTGCACAATATCATGCCAAATTCCTTGCGTGAAGCCGGCATTCGTAGCTTGGTTACAGCTATGAATAAATGAACAGTAAATTAGAGTTCCCAAAGTAGATATTATGCGATACAACGATTGCTATTAGACAGAATAAATAGTCAAATCATACCAATATATGCCATTATATAAAAACGCTCTTTAGGATATCAAAAGTAAAATAGTAATGTCAAGCCCGGGGCTGCTCGGGATTGCTCGGGGCTGACATGGCTGTGAAGCTCACAAAAATTATTATAATTTTTATAATGAAGCCTATACGATGAGCCTTTTGTAGCAAATGCATTTATTTCAAACGCCTTCTTGTCAAAAGACTAGTAGTGAGACTTCAGGCTTCGGTAAAATTGACCGCAAAATGACCTGCAAAAAGACAGGAAATATACTGTTTTTGACGTTCATTAAATGAATACCTTCTTCTTCTTCTTCATGGTCTTCGTCACTGAAGGTCGTGTCCGTCCTGAAAAATTTGAAGAGAATCAGCGACAAGCTGCTTCCACACCACTCTGCCTTCGGCCTTCTTATTTATTTATTTATACTTTATTGTACACCAAAAATAAAAATATATAAAAATCAAATACAAATGAATATTAAAGGGAGTACAATAGGCGGTCTTATCGCTCAGAAAGCGATTTCTTCCGGGCAACCATTGTGAAAAGAATATTTTCTAATGAGGCATAAAGAAGAGAGCAGAGGGAGGTGATTGAAGATAGTCAAAGATTTCGGGAAAAATAGGAAAGGATATATATATATATATAGGAAATAAGAAAGGAAGGCTTTTAATAGGTTTTTAAAAGAAAGAAGTGACTTAGCTTGTCGAATGTGAAGGGGCAAAGAATTCCACAAACGCTCAGCTGTCACTGTAAAAGATTTTTTGAAGAAGGAAGAGGAATGTACCGGAGTTTGGAGGGAGAGATTGGCAGAAGAACGAAGAAGGACCTTTCATGGGATAAGGGAAGATACTCGAAGCGATCTTTTAAGCATTTCGGAGTAGAGGGATTAAACAACACACTGTATAAAGTAGAGAGAATATGTGTATTCCTGCGAAGGCGGATTGGGGGCCACTTGAGCTGTGTACGAAAATCGGAAACATGATCATATTTACGATGCCCAAATATGAATCGAAGACACAAATTTTAAATCCGCTCAAGTTTATTAAGCTGTACTTCGATAATGTCAAGATAGCAAATATCAGCATAGTCAAGGATGGGCAGAAGTAGTGAATGAGTGAGCGCAACTTTAGTAGCAGTAGGAAGAAAATTACGCAGTCTTCTTAAGGAGCCTATAGCAGAGAACATTTTCTTCTTCAAGTCAGTGGAAACAGTGAGCCCGGTTATATGTTTCACTTGATCAGACCAACCGGTAGGTGATCTTCGAGGTGGTCTTTTGATGGCAAAAGACCACCTGGAAGATCACCTTCCCAACTACAACTTCTTTTTCAAAATTATCTGACTGCCTATGGCGATGTGACAAATGAATATAATTGTAAGTAAATCGTAATTGCATTTAAATATTGTTTACTTCACTGAGGTAGGGCCACGCAGGCAGTCTGTCTTACACCTTTCTGAAGTTGGATAAGTTTAGTACTACTGGATCATGCTCAGGCCGATATCAGCCTTGTTATACAAACAGCTCGTCTAAAAGACGTCAAGTACCACTTATATTTCAGATTAAAAGGCTTTTTCGTAGTCTACATAAATCAGGCATATAGGTGGATTAAACTCCTCAGTATTCTCTATAATCTGCCGCAAAGTATTGTTTGTCGTCTACGGTATTCAAGCCTACGGTATTTTTGGCCAATTATCAACATGTACTCTACATTTTAATTCTATAAATATAGGTATTGAAATGCGTCCATATTATAGTATATTTAAATTATATAAATGAGTTTGTTATTTATGGTGATATAATTCACTCGAAATTCAAAATTTATTTCATTCTAAAGCTGTAAACACCTAGAGAATGAAATAATCACACAATTAACAGCTTATTTATTCTGTTTAATTAAGATCTAGGCAAAAAGATTAAGACGGCTCCATTAGGCAAATGAATGTTCGCAATAACGAGCGTATCGAGATTATCCAAATAACGAATTAACAAGTCCTTACATAGGGATATCTCTATATCTCTATATGTAGAGATATTTATATATTTCTCAGTAAGTAATTGTTATAAGAAACCATTCTCTTTATATTTTTCTTTATATAAATTGCAATGATTTTTCCATTGAAGGTTTTGTGATTGACCCTTATTTTGGTAATAAAATCATTTTGTAAGATGATTAATTTCTCTGTGTAGAAAGTCAGTAACTTAGTTCGTTAGTTCTAAAACGTGAGATCGTACAATGTATCTCGTTTAAATTTACATGTATGTACATATACTTATATATTATTGTATCCTTACATATGAAATTGGCGTAATTGAGTACCTAATACCGGGTGAGAATCGGAAAAGTCGTGTCAGCACTAACTTCTTTTACAATCGGTTATCAATGACACCTTCACAATATATTGTAATAAATTATAAGCTATATTATTGTAGTTTCATTAAAATCCATTCAGTAGTTTTTGCGTGAAAGAGTACCAAACATCCATCCATACATACAAACTTTAGCGTTTATAATATTAGTAAGGATAAAAGTAACAGCCTATACATGTCCTACTGCTGGGCAAAGGCCTCCTCCATATAGAGGGTAATAGGGCATAGTCCACCACGCGGCCCCACTGCGGATTGGCGGACTTCACATATCTTCGAAATATTTTTTTTTTGTTATTATTTCGAAAATATGCAGGTTTCCTCACGATGTTTTCCTTCACCGCGGAGCACGTGATAAGACAGCACTTAAAGTTAAAAACTTCATTGGTGCCGGCACCGGGGATCGAACTCAGGTTGCTCGAGTATATTGAATTAAAGGCGATCGCCCGGACACTGAGCTATCACGGCTCAGTAGGATAAGTAAGGACGAGCTAGTAAGGATAAGTAAGGATTTTATGTCGCGATGGCGCAGAACTGAAGAAAAAATAATATTAATCAAAATTTTAATGGATATAAAATCACTTAAATTATTTCCTACATTTATAAGTAAAAGTAATAAGCATGCAAATCAATAGACATGGAAAACGGAAAGAGAATGCTTAATTTCCTCTGTTTCCTCATTCACCATGTGTGAAAAGAAGAATATGATAATTCATCTTCAGACTAGTTCTCTGTTCAGTGGTACTGCGTCGGTCGAACTAGTAATCGTGTAACAGCGGATGCCGTTGCGTGGTCTTGCCACCATAAATTGAAACATATGACAAACTAAGTCAATTATTGCATCTTCACAGCATGCGTTGTGATTTAACTGGGATTTTAACTGAGATTTTAACCGGGATTTTAGCGTTGGGATTTTAACTGAGCCGATACGTTTACTACCAATCATCGACATCTGATCACTATTAAACGTTAGGCGCAATAGTTATAAACTATTAGCGTTAGTATTATAAAAACAAGTCTTACACACGTTATGGACGTAATAACTTTATATGTAAAGCGACGGTAAAATATGGCTACGTAAAAACAAGATACTTGTAAGATTTAATGTAAGTTATGTTGTGCTCCAAACAATGTTTTCTATCCACTCTGTGAAGTGGGAAACTCTGGAAAATACGCTCGGTGTGTTAGGATGTGCGCATCCGTGGCCAAATGAAGTGATACCAACAATATAATAGATTCTCCAATTCAGTCTTGCATCCAAAGGCGTGTCAATTTTGATTTGCAACGGGCCCCCGGAGTCACCCTAAAACGTAAGGATGAAATTACTTAAAAGCTACAGTACTTTCTCACGTTGTTAAATATAAGGCGAGATTATAATAACCACCTGACAAGCGTCTATGCCTCCTAATAAGTGTCCGGCACAGATCTGGTGTGAAGCAAGTCCATTTTTCCAGTTTCTATTACGTCTTGTCTTTAACGTGTCGTTGCATTGTTGGGACGGCAGCATGTCAAGAGCAGCTACTTGCAATATATCTGACGTTTCACCTGTGGCTGTAATTTTACAAATATCCTAGTCAGACTAAGTTACCGATCAAGCCGAGGTCCGGCACGCAGTTGCCAAGGTATTGACATCTACGTAGGGGTTCCCAGGTTTGATCCCCACACGAGACAACTATTTGTGTGACCCAAAGATAGTTTGTTTCTTATTTTGGTGTTTGAAAAAAAAGCCCCCGAGGTCCCAATTCAGAGGCCCTTAAGCTTAGTGACTCCATCGAACGACGGACCAAAGTGACTAGGTCACTTTGGTCTGTCAAGCGTAACGTCCCGAGTCGAGGCTCTCTCGGGATCCCTCAAGCTTAATCACCCACAATCGAAGATCAGGCTGGGCGCACTCAGCGCTTGACCACCTCAAGCCCGGTGTATCTGGCCTCCTCAAGGCCAAGAGTAGACGATCCAAATCTACTTGAACTTCAAAATATTTTTTAACCCGAACTATTTTTTTAAGTCTTTATCGGTATTTATTTTTTGATAAGTTTTTGTTTCTAATAAATAAAGTTGTAAAAAGTAATATCTATAATATATAAACCTGGAATAAACGTATTGTGGTATTATTGCACGAATGGGCAGGCTCATCCGGGGAAGTACCACGGAAATGTAAGTATTATACTTCCGCGTTTCGTGTGGGCACTGAGGTAACCAGGTTAAAAAACCTGGGGACCCCACTTTCACATAAAAAAATCCTGCCTAATAGAATAATTACCTACAATATAGTTATATGCTGTAAATATAATTTACCAGGGTCAACAACGCCCCATCCAGCAAGTGTCGCCTTGCCGGAAATATCATCATTGCTGGTCCAAATACAGGAAGGATGTATTCCACGAGAGAACTACTTCATCATCCAATTCTATTAAAGCGATGTCATAATATGTCTTAGGTGAGTTGTATTTTTCATGAACAATGACTTTGGATATTTTAACATCTTTTGATGGTATTCCATATCTAATCTGGACAATAAAATATGTTATTTTACAAAAAAATGACAACGAACCAGTAAAATATTCAGTCGATGGTCAAATAATGATCTACCCGAAAAGGTGGTAAACGTTTATTAATCGTTTTAACACAAATGTTATATAAATGTTAGTACCCGGAGGACCGAGCTTTGCTCGGTTTGGTTTTTTTTTTTGGTAAATCATGTATTTTGGAAATTACATTTAGATACAAATTACTGAGTAATGAAATATGCATAATATTTTTCGATCTTACCGACGTAATAATAAGAAAATATGAACTGATGTTTTTCACAAAAGAAAGAACTTTTAAAAAAAAGGAAATCGAACAAAATAACAAATCGACAAAAAATTAAAAATAAAGAAAGCAATGATCTGGAATCGAAAAAAAAGTAAAAAAATAAATGTGTAAATGTAAATGATCTTGACGCGAACCACGGCCGTCTGTTTTGGGGCCGCCCGATTACCGACCGAGCTATTTTGACATTTTCTCTTGCGGCGAAATTTACCGTCATATTCGAATTATATTTTTCATTCCCTGAAAACAGGGATAAAAGGACATTTTCTAAAAATGAAACCTAGCTAGATCGATTTTTCGCCCCCGAATCTATGCACATACTAAATTTCCGAAAATCGCTACCGATTCCGATATATATTTTGACATTTTAAAAAATTCTTGTATATATATATATATATATATATATATATATATATATACAAGAATTGCTGTAATGAGGGTATCAGGGAGGGCATAATCTACCACGCAACTGTTACAATCCACTGGCAACACTGCTTAATATACGAGCAATAACAATTATACTTAATAAACATTTAACCATATCTGATATAATATTATATAATAAACCATGCTTAATAATAATTTATAATTTAATAGGTCAATCTTATTAAATAAATGTATTAGTAATTTAATAAGTGCATTGATTTGTAATGTAGTTGTGATGACTCATAATATTTTTGTATATAAGCGCATAATGTTTCAGTGATAGGGTAGAACACTTTATCCTTTGTATAGGACGTTACTCTGTCCTAATAAGTAGGAAGTAGTCTATTTAATATATAAAGTTGTTTATGCTATCCTCACTATTTTATTTTGGCCGACCAACCTACAGTCTTTAATATCTCAGAAGTGGGATACAGTTCCTAAATATCTAGGCCATATCGCGACGGCTTAGGCAAACTTAAGTGAAAACACCCAAAATCCACGAATTCTGCGGAGGAAATTAGCCTAACCACGACGGGGGTAGATCGAGAATTTATTTTTCTCGCCTCTGAAAACCGTCGTTCAACCTGGGAAACAAGTGATGTGGAGATTTCGGAGATTATCTACGAATTCCGACCTGAAAACAGCAGCATAATGTAAAAGATGCGTATGGAGAAGAGGAACTGGTAATGTGGCCAGTGAAACATCAACCCAACATCAACTCCAACCAAAGCTGTGCTACGTGTCGCCGTCAAGGGAACGAGGCGCGTGGCCGCATGCTGCAACAACGCTGCGATACTGCGTATTGGACATACGACTGCTACGTGCTGGTTTTCATCGGGAGCATCTAGACCACATGCGCAAGAGGCTGGTGATATTTTAAGCATTAGATAAAATGATAAATCACAATTTAAATGCGTGCAGAAATGCACACATATTGATATTTACTTAATATTGCTAATATTGTCACATCCAGGTATATAACAAACTTATACATTGCTATTTATACATATTATTATTATTTTGTTTAAAATGGTAGACTGTGTGCCCAATTCCATAGTATAAAAAAGGAAAAATAAACTGTGTAATGTTATTTCATTGTGAAAGGACTGCTGTGTGATAAAGTCCATCCATAGTAAAGAGGGAAATATTAACTGTGTGTTCTAATCCATATGTGAGAGGGCGGCTAAGTGATCAAGTCCATAATGCACAAAGTATAGAACTGTGTGATCATCACTACATGTAATGGGACGGCTGTGTGATCAAGTTCGTGTTCATAAGAAAACCATAAGTTATTACTTAGAAGGGCGGCTGTGTGTTCAAGCCTGGATCGAGGGTGTTAAATATCAAAGAACAAATCATATACTATACATATAAACAATTTACAAATGTATATGATATAAATAAAAAGCAAGGTATATTCTGTCTCTACACAGTAACTGCCGTGTTATTTATCTTTCAGGATTCCGATGTCAATACTGAAAGCCAGGAAGATCGCCGTGGGACACGGCTGCAGCAGGATGGCCGAGTCTCGTAAACGCTGCAGCCTCAGTTGGTGACGGCGATTGTCACGGCTTTGTTCCCTCAGCGATAGGAGCATACGCCACCTGTGATGGTCCGACCTGACTTTGAGGAGACCGACGCAAGTTCGGATGTGCCTGAGGTGACCCCAGGGGAGCTTGGTGCTGCCGTTCTAAAAATGAAAGCCAAAAGCACTGCTCCGGGTCCTGACGGTATTCCAGGACGAGTCTGGTCCGTGGCCCTGGAGGATGCCCTGGAGCCCAGGCTGAGGGCGATGTTTACTGCCTGTCTGGCTCAAGCCACAATCCCACAGAAGTGGAAGACAGGCAGACTTGTCCTCATCCGGAAGGATGGGCGTCCCGTGGACTCACCTTCTGCTTATCGACCGATAGTGCTGCTCGATGATGTGGGAAAGCTCTTTGAAAGAGTCGTTGCCGGCCGCATCATCGAGCATCTGGAACATATCGGCCCTAATCTGGCGGATAGGCAGTTTGGGTTCCGCAAGGGTCGGTCGACAATACACGCGGTGCTGAGGGTGAGGTCCCTCGCGCAGGAAGCAGTTTCCCAGGGTGAGGTCGTCTTGGCGGTGTCTCTTGACATCGCCAATGCCTTCAATACTTTGCCCTGGGCTTGCATCAGAGAGGCGCTCCGGTATTATGAAGTGTCCCTTTACCTGCGCCGCATAATCGCGGCCTACTTGTCAGACCGTCGTGTAGAGTATCCATGCAGAGACGGGCTTCAAGCCATCGAGGTAACGTGTGGGGTTCCACAGGGCTCGGTGTTAGGGCCGCTCCTGTGGAATTTAGGTTATGATTGGGTGTTGCGTGGTGCCTACCTCAGGGGTGTCGAAGTGACATGTTATGCTGACGACACCCTTGTGACCGCCCGCGGCTCAAACTTTCGCCGGGCTGCTATTCTCGCCACTGCGGGAGTGGCTCAAGTGGTGAGGCGTATTCGGCGACTAGGGCTAGAGGTGGCGTTAAGCAAATCCGAGGCCATATGTTTCTATGGACCTAGGAACGCGCCACCTGCGGACGCCCATATTATCGTGTGTGGCGTCCGTGTCGACGTACAACCTACCATGAGGTATCTCGGCCTAGTCCCAGATCGCTAATGGGACTTCTGCGCCCACTTTGAGCGGCTGTCTCCCAAAGTGGTGAAAGCAGCAGCAGCTCTCGGCAGACTGCTCCCAAATGTTGGCGGCCCCAACGATACGTGTCGTCGCCTATACGCCGGAGTCTTGAGGTCAATGGCCTTGTCACCCTGAGCCGCCGGAGCAAAGCACTTTTGTGCAAACCGCAAAGGGTGTTGGCCATACGATCCATTCGGGGCTACCGGACCATATCCGGTGAGGCGGCGTGCCTGTTGGCTGGCTCTTTGCCTTGGGACCTGGAAGCTGAAATCCTCGCGTCACTGCACTTCTGGCGCGAGGAGCTTAAAGCACAGGGCCACACGCCAGCCACAGACGAGTTGGGAATGCGCAGGAATATCCTGCGCTCAAATGCCATCATTGAGTGGCAACAAAGGCTGGAGCACCCCAGCGCCGGCCTAAGAACCGTGGAGGCCATACGTCCTGTTCTCAGTAGGTGACTGGACAGGCAATACGGTGCTCTCACCTACCGCGCGACGCAGGTCCTCTCCGGACATGGTTGTTTCGGGAGGTATGTTTCGCGTGGCGAGGAGGGAGCCCACAGCGGAATGCCACCACTGCGACGTATGTGCCGAGGAGACGTCCCAACACGCGCTGGAAGAGTGCCCAGCCTGGATGGAGCAGCGCCGAGAGTTTTGCGCTATCGTGGGGCACGACCTCTCGCTGCCTGCCGTGGTTCGTGCTATGGTGGACAGCGAGAGGGCGTGGGGTGCTGTACTTGCATTTTGTGAGGACATAATAACCCGGAAGGAGGCCGCGGAGAGAGCAAGGGAGGCAACTGCCACCCTGGAAATCCGCCGTCGGAGACCAGGGCGCAGGAGGCTGGCCTACGCGCGCAACCTGATAGCAAACCCGGGGGTGGCAGATGTGGGGCTAACTGCTGCCCCGTGGACGGATGGCGAGGGGTGCCGTGTCCATTGCACCGATACGGCACCATATGGCTGGACTGGGTGTCCCTAACACCCGGGAGTGGAGGCCTGAGAAGGCCACAGTCGCGCCGGGGTTCGCGGAAGATTGCGTTATCGTGTACCCGCGTCCCCGGCAAAAGCGACAACGCAGGTGCAACGTGGGTTTTTTAGTGGGTACCCCGTGTTCCTGGGGACTCCCACATACCCCCGCTGCCTACCCACAAGACAGCGGGGGATCCATAAAGGATTTTTCCCACGTAAAAAATAAAAACAAGGATGGCCGAGTGTTACAATCCACTGGCAACACTGCTTAATATACGAGCAATAACAATTATACTTAATAAACATTTAACCATATCTGATATAATAAACCATGCTTAATAATTATTTATAATTTAATAGGTCAATCTTATTAAATGTATTAGTAATTTAATAAGTGCATTGATTTGTAATGTAGTTGTGATGTCTCATTATATTTTTGTGTATAAGCGCATAATGTTTCAGTGATAGGGTAGAACACTTTATCCTTTGTATAGGACGTTACTCTGTCCTAATAAGTAGTCTAAATAATATATAAAGTTGTTTACGCTATCCTCACTATTTTATTTTCGCCGACCAACCTACAGTCTTTAATACAAACCTACTGCAGATTGGCGGACGTCACATACTTTCGAAATATTTTTTTTGTTAATACGCAGGTTTCCTCACGTAGTTTTCCTTCATCACCAAGCACGTCATACGCTGAGGGATATTGGACGAGAATATTTTCTGAAGTTAACCGAAAGCTGCCCATCCGAATTGAACTCGCCGATCAATCTTTCCGTCGAAGTTGGACTTACCTAACCGGACAAACTGATAGTACTCGTCAACAAATTCGAACACATATGAAAAAGAAACGTTCTCAAATGACAATCTCCTATTGGCCATCACAGTGTAGGACGATCCCCCACTAGATTGAGAAAAGATCTGTGCAAATTCGCAGAAAGACGATGGATGCAGGTGGCTCAGGAATTGGTTGGTGGCAGCCGTGGCAGTGGACTAAGACAGGCTGAAATGATGCAACTTTCTCACGGTCCACTTTTCGTCCTTCCCTATACGATAAATCAGCCATTAAAAAATTAATAAACAATTTTATGTTGCGGCATGAGTATTTGAACTCGGGCTAGTATATTGAATAAAAAGCGAGAAACTGGATATTGATATGTCATGATGCACTGTAATTTTAATAACTGAATTAACTTAATTTAACATTTATCTTATATAATAATAATAAAATATAAAAATGCTTACCCTCTCTAATTCATTTAATGCTCCAAATCTAACAATTTTCGGTGATTGCTCTGAAACGCTTATGTCAGTCCGGGATACTCTGGAGCAGTGCGCGGCAGTAAGAACGTATTTATTACTGATTAATACTCCTCCACATTTAAATAACCATTTGGAGGATGCAGCAGCTTGCCAGCCTATAGCACACTATTTTACGCAATATTAATAATTAACATATAGTTTATAACATACTGATAATTAAAATAATAAGAATATAATACAAAGAAGTAGAGCACTACTAGTCTTTGCCATACGCAAGATCAGCTAAAAACGAGGCAACAGATATATAAGGTTATTGAGCTTATTATAACAGTATTATTTCATATGGTGTTTTACTTTTTGGTTTCGCATCACTTTGTTCAACACAACATTTGCATAAAAAAGTAACAAAAGTAAAGAATGATGTGTGGAAATGACTCTTACTCTGCTCTTAGACGCCCCTAGCTTCTTCTTAAATGCTATATATGATTTAAAAAATAGATAACTAGACCACAGAGTTTCTTGCTAATTCTTCTCTGGCGTTCTTTTTCTTTAACTTTCTAAAGCTACTAAAAGCTAACAAGAAGTCTATATTGAATAATGAAATTCTGACTTTCAATTTACTTTTAAATCGACAATGACTTTTCAGGTATAAAACACAAGAGTAACATATTTGGAATTCTGAGAATAGATCCATATTTTCAATTTCGTTGCCTTTTTAAATAGCATCGACTATGAGATGAGTGTGACTTCTTCTAATAAAAAAATTAAGCACCATGTGAGGAAATTCTCCAGCCTGTGCATCATCACCACCAACCACGATATTTTCTTGATCCTGTTTATTGCCTGAAGTATAACATAATTTATTAGAAATGTATTTGCACAGGGCATATTTTCTAAAATATACATTGAACCTTACACATGAAGTCTCTTTTATATTTTTCCACCTCGTACCGTATTTGCCAAACGTATTCCAGGCATTCTAGAATAAGGAACCATTATTATAGAGACGATTATATGAAAATTGAGACTATATAAATTTTAGTCTGTAAGCTCTGACAATTCTATCAGCTTGTCAGCTGCCATCTGTTTTAGATGAAAATGTAGGCCGTCTTATAATTTTTTTATATATCTTACTGACTCTCTAAGTAAGGTTTCTCTCTACTAAAACAATCAGTAAGAGATGTAAGATCACTTTGCAGTGACAAAATGTACTTATTGTATTCGTGCTATTTAGAATCTTATATCTCGTTAAAAGCTGATATCCCAATGTGAAGTTGCACATTTGGACCCGGAATTTTAAATATAAAAAGAAACACAACAGAATTTAACAAAATACAACATAATACAAAGACATATAAGAAATAAAGTAACATAAATTCAACTATTCCATGATTACTATGTTACTATGTTATAATAATAAAGTATATGTCACTTGCAAATGACACAAAACTAATGACACCCGAATTCCATGAAACACTTCAAAAGGATTAGGCTGTAGAGTTTGGCAAAGAAAAACAATAGAAGAATATAATTTTTTTCTCCAAAATAATTATCCTCATTCGGCAGTCAGGTAAAACGATTTATTTTCTAGTTCCTATTTCTAGAGTTATTTATTAAGGTAATGATTAATCTTCTATTCGTAGCACTTACTGACTTCACTTATGCGTCTTGCATCTCCTCGAAAATCTGGCATTTTATATTGAAGAGAATCACAGGTACCATTATGCATTTGTAACCACTTATCGAAATGTTTACTCGTTACATTCCATAATTCGCTAGATTTTCGCTTAATTTGAGGATCGTGATTCTGCAAGATTGCGAATTAGAAATCTTAACTAGGAAGGGGATGTTTCATAAACTGTACCGTTATCATTAAAATGTAAAGAGTCGTGGAAAAATATTACTTCGTTATTTAGAATTCAATTACATAAAACATATACCAAGGCCCTTTGCCACGACAGGGCGGGAACGCAGTCGAAGAGGCAGGTGAACTGTCTGCTCGTTTGCCAGCGTTTACCATAAAAAAGATACTAAGCAAACATGCTATATTTATTATATATATATACAAAGTATTGCTTCTAATCGACACGAAAATATACTGCCTTTTACGGACCTGTACGGAGCTTAATGCATTTTGGAACGAAAAATTAAATGACATTTTGTTTTGACTTTTATTTTTCTATGTGAGAAGGTGGCAAGCGAGCTGGTTGTTCACCTCAAGTTAAATGATAACCACCGCTCATGGACATTCGCAACACCCGTTGGTTTGGATACGCGTTGCCGACCTTTTATTACATTGGACCCCAGCTACCTCACTCACCAGACGAAACGCAGAAGTAAAAACCTTCACTTCGCACCATTCAAATGTGTGATCACGGTACTTCCCGGACCGACCTGCCCATTCGTGCTACAGCGAAGACTGTTGCGTGATCCTACCATAGTAAGCTAAATGTTTCTATGCTATCGTGGTTCCTGCAAGGGCCTGCCTATTCGTCAAATTCGGTATAAAGTTATTTGGTCGAAGTAAAATAATTTGTGCTTAAATTACATGTAATATGTGAGTGATCGAAATGATGGTTCAACGAAACACTCACGTCGTCCTTTGTGTTAACCACTGTTCATATCCTATATTAAGCTAACCATTTTAATTTACACTCTAAGGGCACTGTTATATACTTAACAAGATATAACTTTACAAAGCGATACCTAGTAGAAACAATATACTAATGGGGAAATTTTCGAGTCTGTTGACATAATTATAGAGAACTATGTAGCATTTTTAAAGTCTTTATTTTACTTTAATTTTATTTTTACTACTCCTTTAAGTTACAAAACAAGTTACATAAAAAATTTTTCCTTAACTTACGTAATATTCTTTAAATAACATTCTTCTACCAAGTACACACGGCATCATTATTAGGCAACAAAAAATTAAAGTGAAACAAGCACTATTTAATTTAGTTACTTATACGTAATAACTCATGAATTATCTTAGTTTACCTGTTCAGTTTCTGTCATTGATTGTTTATCTTCATTTTCAAACATTTCGTAAATATCCTCGGCACTTATTAAAATAATTACTGCAGATAAAAAGTTAACAAAAATTCACTATATAACAAATTATTAAGTTAATAAAGATTATTTAGCGTTTACTAAATCTAAGTTAAATGAACACGTAATTTTGATTTTATGATTAAAACTTTTATAAAATCATTGGGAATATATTTAAGCATAACATCTTACGAACCAAATAAAAAAATAACAGTAGCATTTGCAGACATTTTAAAATTACAAATTTGCATACTTGCTATATTAATGTTTATCTGTAAGTTACAAAACACAAATGAGCAAAAACACGAATAGCATCAGATCTTTAAGCTCTTCGATATATTATATTTAATTATGTACAGTTAAGTTCGTAATCCAGTATTAGCTACAAGTGTGAAGACGGACTTTTACTCGTAAAAGTTTGATGGTCTTACAAAATCTAGTCGAAAGCTTTACATTATCGGTTCTAGTGTTCTCCGAAATATTATTTAAAAAAGAACAGAAACTTCTGCCACACATCCTCAGAAGAATGGCAGCCTCTCTAAAACTTTATTGAAAATTTCTTTACAGAGATTTTGGTTCTAAAATATAAAAACATTATATTCATAAATAAAAGAGGCATTAAAAATATAGCTGAATAGTGCTATTCATCTTAGATATTACTTTTATCGTTTTTGCTTTATTTAAAAAGACAGTATTCGCTACTAACATCGTCTTACATGTTTTGTATCGTACATGCTAATAGATTAATTTTACAATTCCTGATAGCCTCTTATGATCCGGTTGATAATCTTATAACCAGTGGGATCATTTGTTATTCATAACATGCAAGGTGAGTGGGTTTTAGCAGTGTAACAAAATATGATTTATTTTTATAGATACATTTCAACATAGTTATTTTTACTTTAGCCGTGCAAAAAGCTGTTTCCATTTTTTCTACATTCGGTTTTTCTTACTGATCTATAATCAAACTACAAACATAAAAACAGGTTGCCTCTTTTATAATATTCTGGTGTTTTATTGGCAATCATCTACATAAATTTTCCATGTGTATGATAAATTTAAAAAATAATAGTTATTTTGTGATGTGACTCTGTGTCGCAGTTACTAAGCCAATGGCTTTTATAGCGGGGGTCATGAGTTCGATTCTGATACAGGACAAGTATTTATGTGACCTGTTTCGGGCCTTGGTGTCTGTGCCCAAAGAGGTGGGTTGATGTCAGGTATACAACCGGCCGCTAACATATTACATGATGCAAGTTCACTTTGTGCCGACGCCACTTATGGGATAAAGACATGAGGAAGAAATAATAGTTTTAGCATGTAAGTTGTAGACCAAACGCCCCGTGAGGTATAAACGACAAAACGTAAAGAAAATCACGGATTATTTTAAAGCAAATTATCTTTTCAATATGTTAAGTGATCCATCGTAATGGGAGTTTTTTTTTATTTTATACTCAAAAACAAGAAAGTCAGTCAGAAAGCCTAGGGACAAAGGACGTTCATGAAGTAAATCATGCTTAGTGTGTCCCTGTATTACTGTTTGTGCTTACTTTTACAGGCGGCCATCATCTAGTAAAGAATACGTTTGAGACAAAGCACAATTATTAGTCCTCAACTCAGTGGTTTCATTCAGACCATTGAGCCTAACGAGCTAAATGGAAGTAAGAATTGCGAAGTGGCTCAGGACAATAAAGGGTACCATTTTTCATGAAAAATTAAATCAAGCATCTTTCGACGATTCTCTAATGATGCGATCTTAAAATGTTTTAGGCTTTTCGGACCTGAGTATTTTAGTTTATATACAACAATGCTAGGAATTGTAAAGTTACATAGAAATAAATTCATTTTTAGACTAACATATAAAGAAGTTAAATAGTCTGTATTGTATTCTCTATTGTAAAATTAGGTTCCGTAGTAAAGTAAAATAACAACCTATATAAGTCCTACTGCTAAAAAAATGCCTTCTCTTATACACAGGTTATATTGGAGCATAGTCCACCCACCACTCGACCCCACTGCGGAATGGCGAACTTCACATATTTTCAAAACATTTATTTTATCGTTTCTAAAATATGAAGGTTTTCTTACAATTATTTTACCTCAGCCGATGGTAGAACCCAACCATCTTATATACTGAAATTTGTATGATCTTTATTTTAATAACCTCGTGAGTCACCCTTGTTACGGTTACGGTTACGGTGTTCCTTTGCGAGGATTTTTAGTTAATAAAATCTGTTTCAATTGTTGGAACAGTTTTATGTGTGTTCGCAGACTGCAGACTTATTTAACCTGTTATTCATTATATCACCTATCTATGTTTATCTCAAGCGGCTTTTGATTGGGACGAGAGGCCACATTCACAATCGAGTTTTTACGCTTCTGGTTCTTGTAGGTTCAGGTTGTTACACTTGACGGATGGCAAAAATGATTATCATCTTCAGCGGCTTGTGGAATATTTTTATGGAAGCCCACTTTCATCACGACGACGGGTGTTTTTCAAAAAGTTGAAGAATATTAATGTTTTCATTAAAATCGCTTTCCTTTCCTTTCTTTCTTCCGTATATTATTTCATGTTGATTCTGTATCGCAACGCCATAACTTCTATAATAACTGAAAAGCTAAATTAACAAATTAACAACTCACTCACAAGATGAAACTCGCGTTGCGTCTGGCGAGTGAGGTGGCCGGAGCCCAGTTTTCAAAAGGTTGTCAACGCATCTGCAGCCCTCGAGTTTAGCAGATGTCTATGGGCGGCGGTATTCACTTAACATCAGGTGAACCGTCTGCATGCCTGGCAACTTTTCACATAAAAAAAAAAATGAGAGGTGTCAAGGGACACCCGCATGGAACGAAGTTCCTTTCGTTTAATTAGTGAAGGAATTGTAATATTTTTTTTAAGTTGTAATAATATTTTTTTATTATTAATATTTTTTTAATTATTAAAAAATATAATGTAATATATACTAAATCAGTAGGATCAATAATAATTCAATACTAATACTAATAATTCAATTAATAAAAAAGTGTCGTTACCACTTTTCGTGAGAATTTTTTCCGTCTAGCCCCCTTTCACAACGCGCGATAAGGAACTTCGTTCCAAAAACTTTATTGGTGCCGGCACCGGGATTTGGATTAAGGTCATCCAAGTATATTGAATCAAAAGTGAGCGCCCGAACAGTGAGCTATCACGACTTATTTATTTTACACATTATTGTTACCTTTCGTTGATTGATCACGGAACGGAACTGTACGAAAATTTCGGACGGGTCAACGAGTCCACGAGAGACTTCGATATAGTGACTACACTATACATATAATAGTCTACAACATATAATAACATACATAAATGTTAGCCTTATACATTTTTTCTTCCCATAATTGCGATTAAAACCCTTTTGGCATCGTGTACACCTCTAGTTGCGTAAATTTCTTAAAAAGGAATTCAAAATTTTCGCTACACGTTTTATCGAAGTAATACTTCTTTAGGCGCGTTATGAAAAAATTATAGAAGTGAAATTTTAAGACGCGCAAACATCACTGTAACACAAAAGTAATACCTTTCAAGCTGCCGCCGCTTATTTTTTTATAGATGTCAACATATTCTCAATTACATTCGTCCGTTACAGTTCTCAATAAAGAACGTAGATGGCGCTTTCATGATTTTATTATTTTTATTCTTTATATCCCTTTCCAGACTTTTTATTATTTTATTGGAATTAAAAACTATTTTTAATGATGCCAAAGAAGTATCAATTCTCACGCGCGTCCATAAGTACACGCATCAATATTTTTTTTCATGTTGAAAACTTGCGACCCGTCTCGGCTTCACACAGGTGCAATGTATTATAATATATATATATATATAACTTCCTAGTGAATCACTCTATTTAGAAAAAAAAAACCCACATCAAGATCCGTTGCGTAGTTTTCAATATCTAAGCGTACATAGGGACAGACAGACAGCGGGACGGCTAAGCTTTATAATATGTACAGAAATGATAGTGAAGACTTGTAAAGGGTCCTTTACCACAACTTTTCGTCGCCCAAATCTCCAAGTTATTTCCATCGATATTTAATCAATCAATTTACGGTGGTAGGGCCACGCAGCAGCCTCAGCTGTTGCACGAATGGGCTGACTTGTCCGGGTAAGTACCACGACCTCACAGAAGACCGGCGTAAAGTTTTATACTTTCGCGTTTCATTTGGTGAGTGGGGTGGCCGGAGCCCAATTACCTAAAGGGTGTCAACGCATCTGGCACCCTGGGGTGTAGCAGATGTCCATGGGCGGCGGTATTCACTTAACATCAGGTGAACCGTCTGCTCGCTTGGTAACTTTTCACATTAAAAAAAATCATTCATACCTGAACTTCATGTCTGAACGAACGATTTATTCCGTTTTTGGAAGTTTGGGGGCTTAAATATACCCGTGTTTGTGATTATTACGAATAATTATTGCGCACGGACGCATATATAAATATACAGTTGGGAATTGAGTGTGAAATAATTGTTTAGAGATCCTTGAGATTAGAAAAATCCATTGTGCCTACGTATATACATTTTACAAAATTTTTTTGCATAATTTATTTTAACTGTTTTATCGACGGTTCATGAGATACAGCCGGGTACCAGACGGATAGACAGACAGACAGCGGATTCTTAATAATAGGGTCCCGTTTCGCTCTTTGTGTACGGAACCCTAAAAAGAATAAGTTAAACGATGACTATTCACTTTATACGTGAACGTTAATCAGGGATGAATAACTCAGAATCTTGATTTTTGCCACTCTTTTAATTTTCTAAACCATTTTCGCAACATTACAAGACTTATTTAAAACACAGTTCATACCATCTAAGATCACAATAAAGTTACATCTAGTGCAATAATATGTACAATAAATAAATGCTTAATCATCTACTATGTACAACCTAGTCTCATCTCTTTTGTTATTAATACGTATAATATTGCGTTAAGTACATTTTGCGTTTGATGTCGATATAATAAAAAAAAAAACAATGCAGTGATTTAAATACAACATCAAGACTTACATTAAAAAGTATTAAAACTGTAAGGAATGACCGTAAAAGTAAGCATTAGATCTCATTAAATTTCAAATACATCATATTCAAATATAGAACAATAACACGAATTCTCTCATTGACTAACGAAGCGTTACTGCCGTTCCATTTAATTTAGCGTTCATAGTGTAAGAAATACTTCATACTATGGAATCGTTTGGTGTTTCTGGTTTGGATAGAAGGGGCACGCTACTATAATCCTTTAGGGACTCAGTACACTTTTTAGTGCCGTTGTCGAAGGAACTTGCCGCGGGCATCTTCGGAATCCAATTATTATTTCCCACTTTATTCGACTTGTGATTGCCAATGGAATTCGCCTGACAGTCCTTAAGTTTCACTTTGGGCTGGCCACTCTGACTAACGGAATTATGGTTCAAAGTACTAACGCTTAGAGCTATTGAATTTGTCGCGTTTAGCTTGTCCATGTCCTTAGCGTGATCTGTGACGCCATTTGTCACGGGTTCGGATGGCTCAGAATTCTGCCTTTGCATTTTAATGACTTGTAGGAACGGTTGCACGTCTTTCTCTAATTTAATTAGATCATTCGTTTTCTGCTGTTGGAATATTGCTGAACCTCGTCTACTGGATGTTCTAGATCCGTGATCTAATCGTTGTTTGAACGGTGTCAAATGGGACAGTGAACCGCTAACATCGGACTGTGTCTGCAGCTTTGCTATTTGAGGTTTCTCCTTAGGTGCGTTCGGATCGACGATTTCACCTAATAACCAATATGTGACTAGAATTCCTTTGCCCTGAAAGTAGATAGAAAGATAAATTGAAACTGCAAAATTATTGTATTTAAATATTTTAAAGCTAAAATTTTATTGTTATCACCTTCATGGCAACTTCCCCTCTACATTCTAAGTGGAATGTTCCGAAGGTGTCCAGTAGCGCCTTTGTTGTGGGGGACACGTGAATTTTAAGAGCCTCCCCGTTAGATTCCATACGGGACGCTGTATTCACTGTATCTCCGAACAAACAGTATCTTGGCATCTTTAAACCAACCACACCCGCAACACACGGCCCTGTAATAAACAATAAATATACTTAACACGATGATACTTATTGACAGAAAACGCTATATAAAATCTCATGTACCTATTTATGTCGCGATGGGGTACGCTTACATTATCGCCTTTAGTAACATTTGAGTGAGTCAACGTTTGACCTGATACTCAGTTGATATTATGAAAAACTATTAGATCCATCCCGTTACTTATATATGATTATGTATGTGTTTGTATCATGATTCTAAGCGTTCATCGGGAACAACTATCCAAAATGATTAAATTATACGTATACCTGAATGCAAACCAATTCTGAGCTTGAGCTGGTCGTGAGGCCGATGCCTGATTCGAAATCTTCTGACGGCATCGAGAAGGGCTAAAGCCATTCTCGCCACTTCACAAGCATGGCGAGTGCCGTTGCGTTCCGGTAGGCCAGATACAACCATATAAGCATCACCTATTGTTTCAACCTGAACAAAATATAATCCATATCTATAGTTACGTTTGGCAATGAAATTATGCTAATTTTTGTTTTGTAACAATACAATAAATTTTAGGTACAAAGGGGTTAGAATAAGAAAGGTACTCTTCTAGATATTTTTAATTGACATGAGCTGTAGTTAACAGCAGCGGCGTGAATGCAAGATAGCGCATTTTTCACGCATAATTCGAGAAAAGTAAAACTTGAAATCGTCCCAATTGCACGGAATTACTGCTGCAACACAAATCAATGTTACCTTATAAACGTCGTAATTTTCGACGATCGAATCGAAACATGTATAGAGATCATTCAATAGATCGACGACTTGCATCGGTGTGGACGAAGCAGATAGTGCGGTGAATCCGACGATGTCCGAGAAATATATGGTGACACTCTCGAACGTCTCTGCGACCACCGATTGCCCATTTATAAGCTGCGAAGCCACTGACCTAGAAGTAATTTCGGTCGTGAAAAAGGGACTCGACGACATAAATATATTCTTATGACATCGTGATGTTATTTTTTTTTGACGATATTGCTTTTTCGGTATTTCGTACGCTAATATTCGAAGACATTTGAGGAAAGACTGCGAAGAGGGCGATAAATTGAATATTTAAAGTATTCAGTTCTTGTGCTTATAAATTTTCGGGAATTGCAAAGTTTTTCAATCTCGCAAAACCTCGTTAATATAACCAATTTAATCATATTTGTACTAAAATTGACAATAAACAAAATTCACTAATAAAATTTATTTCCTTTTCGCAATGCAAAGCTTTTAACAATTACAGCACAACGGGTAGGCTTGTTTCGGGAAGTGCCGCGGCCTAACAGAGGATCAGCTTGCCGCGGAAGTGTAATACTTTCGAGTTTCGTCTGGTTGTGGGACATAACCGGCGCTCTGCGTAAAGTATCTGCGAACCTTCAAGTGTTGTTGATGTCCATGGGCGGCGGTCTCGTTTCATAATTCTTCACATAAAAAAAAATATTCTTCTCTAATTTACAAATATTCATTTTAGTATGTTAATGAGAAAGTGTTGTTTGTTTTAAAGTAAACTAGATGGCACCAAGCATTTCTACAAATGCTATAAAAAACTTAGGTTGAGATTTTCACGTGGTGAGAATCGATCGACCTTTTAGTTCAGCGATTAGAGCCTCTGGTGGCATTACTCGGAAGGCTCAGATTCGAATCTTGGCATTTACCTTTATCTAAGTGCTAAGATTGGCTAAAAATTATTTTTTTTATAAATTTTACTACAAAAAGCGTAATATCCAAGATCCCAAGGCCCCCAGCCATCACTAATTTTTTCAGAAATAAAATTTATGGGATTAAAAACTGTTACTGTGTACTTTCAGTGTTACTGTGCACTGAGAACTTAAGAAAAGTGAGGACTATTCTTACCTGCCTTTAGCACTTGGTACCTGACATATAGATGCCGGGCCAACCTAGCAGATGTGCATACACTAATCAACACTCTACTTTATCCGATACATTTTATTTTTCAGAAAATAAGTAATGTCTGGGGACCTTGTGATGCTGCTCTATGTAAAGGAAAGTATAGACGAGCCCTAAAAATAGAATCAATTATAAACTTCAACAAAAAAAAGCGCTAATTCTCTAGTTTTCAAATATTCATTGAAAATTGAGCCGTGCAAGATCAGTGTCCGGGCGACCGCCTTTAATTCAATATACTCGAGCAACTATGAGTTCGATCCCCGGTGCCGGCACCAATGAAGTTTTTAACTTTAAGTGCTGACTTATCACGTGCTCCGCGATGAAGGAAACAATCGTGAGGAAACCATGCAGGTTTCCGATTCCATTTTCGAAATAATAACAAAAAAATATATTTTTCGAAGATACGTGAAGCCCGCCAATCCGCAGTGGGGCCGCGTGGTGGACTATGCCCTGATGGGTATCAATCTTTATAGAGGAGGCCTTTGCATTTGCACTTTACATTGAAAATTGTTATTTGAGAAAGTTGTTTGGTGTTGTTGTTTACTGTAAAGGGAGCACTAGATATGCCAAGCAGTGCTAGAAATGCAATAAAAACAGAAGATACAAGACATCCAGATTTTCGCGCTTTGAGGATATCCAACTATGTGATTGAGATATTACGAACAGGAAATAAAGCAGTTGAAACGATAACTTTAGCTGTACATTCAAAAACAATTTAACAACTAATAGTAAAACGACAAGGACATAAAAGGGTTTTGTTTCTTCTTAACGTTAGATAGTCAATGAGTTTATATTGTACCGCAAACGTTAAAAAATAAGTGACTAATATGATTAATATCACTAATGACAAACTGAAAAAAACCGGCCAAGTGTTAGTCGGCCTCATGCACGAAGGGTCCCGTACCATTATTATAGAAACGGCAAAAAATCAGTCATGAGTCTGTTGTATTGGAGCCCCACTTAAATATTTTTTATTCTATTTTGTAGTATTTGTTGTTATAGCGGCAACAGAAATATATCATCTGTGGAAATTTCAACTATCTAACTATCACGGCTCTACCTGAGATAGGGTATGTTGGCAGATGGACAGACAGACAGCGGAGTCTTTAATACAGAGTAATAGAGTCCCGTTTTACCCTTTGAATATGGAGCCCTAAAAAGATATGCCGTTCAAAAAAATTCTCGATTTTCTTAAAATTTTCGAAAAAAATTGAACAATATTCATCATTAAAAATTAAAAATAAATAAAATACTTCTTTCTTGGGTTAAAATATATGAATCAGTGAGCAAAAACCAGATTTTAAGAAATGTTACTAATGAACTTTATCTATGCCGTATAAGACATACTTACTTAGGTAACAATTGATACAGGAGTTCTTCGCATTTTTTCTTTTCTTCTAAATAATCTTGAGTTCTTTCACTAACCAATGCCTCTAAATTGTTAGCGTATTGCTCCATACGAGATAACAAATTATCTAATATATTACTACTCTCTTGGGACCTGTTGACAGAAGAAACATTAAAACATTACAAAACAAATAAGTTAAGAGAAAATACATATACAATTTGTATGATTACAAAACATTCATGAAAAAAAACTTAAAAGTAATAAAATATCTTCGATCAAGGACACTCTTTTTTTTGTTCAAAAATAGAGTACTAATTTATTACTCTATTTAAATAAAACAATAATAATTTTATGAAATGATTTTCACACTATCTTTTGATGTAATACAGTGCAAACGAACAATTGGAACACGCTATTGTCATTGATCACCAAACGTGATACGCAACACTTTAATAACAGGAATTAAAATATAAGTTATTTTTTAAGACTGTGAGCCTTCAGTTGGGCGTAAAGCAAAAGTACAAAGCCTTCGTAATACACTTTTTAGTGACAATTACAACGTTATAAGGAGCATAAATAAACTATAAAATTGACTTTAAATATTTGATTTAAATAAAATCAATTTAAGAAACAATATACATTCGTAATGTTCACAAGACGCAACAAATGAAACAAGCTCATTAGGTGAAAAATGGATAATGATGGACATTTGATAAAAATATGTAGGTACATGACATAATTATTACTTATTAAGACGTCGAATGGCCCCTTTGAGGTGACCAAAGTCTGGCCGCTCTGTTGGTTCTTCGGCCCAGCAGCGACTCATTAGCTCTGTGGCTTCATCAGCTTCGCATGAGCGATGGTGGGCCGTATTCGGGCGAATGCCACTCGCGATAACAGTTTCTATAATTTCTGTAAACAATGAACATACTTGACCAAGGATACAGTGGAAATACATAAAAGAATCGATCAGTCTAAACTATGGCGTATGATTAATATGTATATAAATAAAGTTCTCTAATGAGTGATCTTTGGTGCAACCATTTCCTAGATAATGAAAATAGGGGACACAATAGATCCCAAAACGAAGAACCAGCAAAAATGTTTCAGTTATTCTGCTGTAACTGTAACGGTGAGCATGTGAGCAACAACAAATTATTGTTACTCTTAGAACTAGTTGATCCGTTAATTCGCAATAAACATGAAGCATAAGATTTAATTTCAATGGGGTTGACCTCTACAGTTTCCATAGTCTAACTTCCTTCATCATTTTTGTAATTTTCTTTTGTAAAAAGACAACAAATTACGTTTTATTCATTAGAATAATAATCAGTTTCATTATAAAAGTTTAAGGGCATACCTTTTGGGGCCACATCTATTCCCGGTCCTAACCAGAAGGCGCCTTGTCTGTTAACTATCTCATGCATAATAATTCCAAAGGAATAAACATCGCCTTTTTGCGTCCCTTCTGGGGGTGGCTCGGACATCCTAAGTAATTCCGGTGCGGTCCATAATAAGCCTGCATTAATAACAACACATTATAATGTACAAATTGAAAAACAAAAAATGTATAAATTATATAAAATATATAATTTTATATAATTCATACATTTCGTTGGAAGGTGGCAAACGAGCTGGCGGTTCACCTGACGTTTTATTTATTTATTTATTCTTTATTGAAACACCTTAAAAAGGGTTACAAAGGGCGGACTTAATGCCTATTGGCATTCACTACCAGTAAACCCGGGGCAGGTGAAATCGTGGTAGGTTTAATACAGAAAGGGGATTACAATATGGATTCGTGAAAAAAATGCTTAAATCAAATAACGCAATATATGTAAGATATTACATAAACATTAATATAACACATAATATATAAAATAAATATAAACATATGTACATATACAGGTTGGCTTTTCTAAAGGTGCCCAAATTCACACAGGAGGTTCAGACTCGGTAGTACAAACGTTAATTGAAATATGAACAAACTTTTTTTTTTTTTTTCAAAAAAAATTGCAATTCTATATACCCTAAAAACAGAACTTGTTGACAATGCGGTAGTCATTCATAAATGCGTCGTATACTTTTGAAACAAACTTGTGTGCGTGTTAGTTATGAATGATCGCGCGTAAAATTAATGAGTTACCCATATATCACGCAATTTTTTAAATAAGTTTAAATGAATGTAATTAATTAATTACGAGTGATTTTAAATATTTATCATTTTTATATAATATTATTTATGTCTAGAATTTAATAAAAAAAACGAATACACTTATAAAAGCCTCCCTGTATAATAAACAATAACTTCAAGTAACTATACGACAATATAACGGACAAACTGGATCATTTAAAATCGAGAAAAGAACAAGTAGAGGTACGCCGTTTTTGAACATTAAGCCATTTAAGCTGAGTGCGTTATTGGGAGATATGATCATATTTTCTAAGATTGAAGATATATCTCTAGCTTGGTCAGAAGACCATTGTTTAAGACACACATCCGCTTAATTCTTATGGGTGAAATAGGCGTTTACACAAGCATAAGCTTGGTTTTGTAAGGTAGATAATTTTTGATGTTAAATGATAACCGCCGCCCGTTGATTTGCAACACCCGTAGGAATGCAGTGGTGTTGCCACGTTATTGTAACGTGGGCCTCGGCTACCAGACGAAACGCAGAAGTACAATACTTCCACTTCACGCTGGTCTTCTGTGAGGTCGTGGTACTTACCCGGACGGACCTGGCTGTTGCGTGGTTCTCCCACATAGTTTGGTGAAATTACATTACATTATTATACATATGAAGTTTTTGTACATATTTTCAGTCTTTACATTTCTTTGTTTTATGAGTAAGAATACTTAAAAACAATTTACAAATAATAATTACAATTTATAATTAATTAATTGCTTACGGGTCCAATAGCTGTGCGCTTTGGAATCTTTCTCGGCAGTTCTTAACGCGTGAAGTCCAAAATCTGTGATTTTCAACACGAAACGCGAATCCACAACGCAGTTGCTAGATTTCAGCGCGCCATGTGATCTTATGTCGGTACCGTGAAGATAGTTCATTCCCTTTAAAAGAAGACGTAATTTTAACATACACTGCGTTCTGCGAGTACAATAAGCTTCAAGTCGAGCATATAATGATTTTATACAAGAAACCATTTCGGTACTATTGATAATTAATTAATGTAAAAAAAATTCTACAGAACAAATAATACTAGTAGTAACATAAAGTTTTTTTCTTTATTTTATTTTAACTTTTTGTAATTTATTCGACGTTGATCAATGGTCTGCATATATTGTGTATTAAGGTGCCAACATATACGTCCCAAAGTTTATTTAATGATTATGGTTTTTTTTTATTGTACCTAGTATAGGTGCCACTAATAAGTACAGTCTTTTGGTCCACTTATTATTTTTAAACAAAAATAATGGTGCCAAGAGATCGTCATAGGTGAATCAATCATCATCAGCCGCAAGACGTCTACTGTTGAACATGGCCTATGTTCAACAGTGGACGTCTCCCCCATAGAACTCTACAACGAACAACATTTTGTTATTTGCATCCTTTTAGTTGCCCGCGACACTTACGATGTCGACCTTAACAAGGCCTTTCAACGCTACGTCCCAGACAACTCCATCATACGTACCCGGACGATATCGTGCATCAAGCTGACTTTGAACATCCAGTCTAACTTTATGGTATCATTCTCCAAAATGTCTTGCAAGGACCCTTTTGGGCAGTACTCCGTTAATAGGCAGCAGTGCGGTGGGTCGACGCAGGCACCGTAGAACCTCGCCAGATGGTCGTGCTCCAAGTCCTTCATTTTCTTCAATTCGAGCAACAACGGCCTGGTCAGGTCTATACGCTGTTTGTCCACGTTCTTAATTGCTACGCGGCAGCCTTTGTAAAAGGCCACACGGAGCATACACTTGCCGATCGCCCGCCAGTGAAGTCGCCTCGTCAGAGTACGCCGTCTATAATGAGAAGTGTGGATAATATCATTCGTAGTTTTTTTTAATTGGAATTAAAATAAGAAAACGGTTCCACAGAAATATTTTAAGGATTGTCAGGCTTCTTGAACCTTTTAAATTGTTCGTTTCGTTTCATGTCTTTAATCATCGTCATCATTTCAGCTCGTTCGATTCCACTGCTGAACATAGGTCTCCCCTACAGACCAAGAAGCACGATCCTGAACTACCTGCATATATCAACGTTCCGCACATTTCGTCACCAGTCGTCTCTCCATCCAGTGGGAGGTGGGCCTAGACTACGATGGCCAAAACGAGGCTGCCTGCCACTCAAGAAATTTTTTTGATTTTTTAATGACTTTAAAATTTTTTCTAAGTTAGTTACCGCCGTTTTTTTCTATATTATTAATTCATTTTGTTTATTATGTATACCTTATGTTATGTTAATTTACTGAGCATATTTATTATTAGTAACTGTCATAAAGGAATAATTATTAATTATCTCCCGAACATTTCCATTATTCGAAAAAGGACGATAGGTTTTTGTGAAAAAACTGAAATAGAAGCCATTTTCCATTTTAATTTAGGATTCCACTTCGTTCTAAACAGCTGAGTTGCGTTTCGATTTATATCCAACCATAAAATTTGCAGATTCCAATATCAATTTGCATTTCGACGTTGGAGATTTCATTGCACTGAGCATCCATTATTCCAGCTGCCATAATATTCGACATGTAATTTCTAACCTGTCATATGTTTTTCAAATAACTATATATTTATTTCTTGTGTTTACAAAATTCTGCACATGGTTCCATAAACAATAGTTTACGGATCTTGTTTTTAAATTGCCAATTTTTCGAACACTTACATGTCGATATGAATTCACCCGTAAAATAGTGTTATTTAACTAAATATTTACTCATGAGCTCTCATCAAGGATTTGTGGTACCTTTAGTTTCTATAAGCAGGGTATACTTAAAATAAATTTATACCTGCTAGCTAACGTTGATAGTGAGTTCATAGTTGTTTAGTTAAACGTTCATAGTTCGGATTTAAAAAATATTTTTGGTTTGATATGGATATAGACTAGGTTGAGAATTTAACAGAAAAACCGGCCAAGTGTGAGTCAGATTCGCGCACGAAAGGTTCCGTACCATTATCAAGGGTAAAAAATTTGGGTTGCAGCAAACAAATAGGTTCTCGTTGGGATGAATGCTAAAACGTATTCATTTGCAGGACTCACCCCAGTGCTGTACCTCCGTGCGAGTGAGTGTAAGCTACCGCGTAGTTTACCACCTGGAAGGAGCACGTCGGTCCAGCTGACTCGCCAGGTCATCATCGCTATTTCAGCTTCCAGCTTGTAATGTCTGTTTACAAGAAAATCAATCTAAAATAACATGTGCATTTGTACACTATGCTGTTGTGTAAAAGCCTTCCTTTCCAAAGATTTCATTCAAATCTAAGAGCCCATTTATGCCTTTTAAAGTTACCTATACGAGTAGAACATGTGACTCAACAGAAAAACCGTGTGATATTATCATGTTCTTAAAATTAAAATCCTGTATCCCCATATGTCAAAGTTATTAAAATCCAGGCTATTTCTAGTAAAACTGTTAAACCTCGCTATATTAATCTTTACCTAGCATCTAAATCATCGAAATAAAAAGTAATCATAAAACCATCATCATTGTCAATCCATATCCGTTTATAGTTGGATAAGCTTGGTAGACTTGATAATCAACTCTATTTAGTACAGCAGTATTCTATGCTAATTAGTAAGGCAATAGATAGTAACGTAAAGATAAATAAAACTTACCTATAGATGAATACTGATAGAATGGCCAATATAACAACAACCGAACTTAGTACGATGCTCAATATCGCGTATACGGGAAGGGCTGAAACAAATTAAGAGTGATTTTTTTTTTCACAAATAACCTGCGCTTCTTTTAACTCCTACTCAATATTAGTAACTCGTGTTTAATTTGCAATCCATGCATTTATAACGGTAAAAATAAAAAAGTACTTAAATGCTTGAATTGAGCAAAGAAAATAAGTAACGTAACCACAAGCAGAAATAAAAATATAATTTATTTTATATAGTTATAATGTAACAGTTTAGTTGAGCTAGGAATAGGGCTTATGATATAATAGTGCACTGTACGGAAATAAGGCTTGAAAAAGTTCATTGAGCGTTTATGTTTTCTAAAACCACGTTAGTCTAAAAATGTTTTGATTTTTATTTAAGTAGACTATGGCCAATCACAATTCAATTGCTAGTTTTATGAATGAATATTTTATTACTTATTATTTGTTTACTTATTCGTTTTAGAACATCAAAAAGTTCCTATAAGATTTCAATATTTAACCTCTCTAAATAAAATTCGGTCGTTAACTTGCTTAATTTTCAAAATCCAAGTGAAAACCGAAGTACGCCTTCAAAGGACTGAATAATTGAAAGTAAACAGCTTGGATATCAGACTAATTTCGTTATCTTGATTTCTCGAGAGTTTTCATAAAATTTAAATTACTTTAAGATTAAATTAACTCAAGATCGGAGCGGTTTATAAAAAAATTGTAGTTTGTCCTGTGAATTTTTTTAAAGTCGAGTAAAATTTTAAAAGTTATTTGGCAGCTGATTAGTTGACTTCTACGATGATCAGTGTTTCATAAACGTGGCGTTAAGTTTCGGAATGATCCGTTTTTCGACAACATTGGACCTTTAATGTACTAAAAATGTGTTTTTGATAAGGCCTACTGCATTGATGATACTATTCCCACTTACAGTTGTCGGGGCAAAGGGAGCCATCGAAGCCACACTCGGGGGTATCGGGCGGAGGGGTATTGCGGCCCCCTGCCCAGTGGATGGGCCGATTGGCGATGAACTGTAGAGATGAATTTGCCGCTATGTAAGTAGCCACGACCTGCAGAAACCCAAAGTGAATCATTGATCTATGTTTTCGTCCACAAAACAAAAAAAACGACGACGTGCGAGTCGAACTCGCGCACGACTTGTTTCGTACCATTATTTACGGCAAAAATGCATGTCTATTGTATGGGAGCTCCACTTAAATATTTATTCCGTTTTTTATTATTTTTTGTTATAGCGGAAGCAGAAATACATCATCTGTGAAAATTTCAATTGTCTTACTATCACGGTTCATGAGATAAGCAGCCTGGTAACAGACGGACAGACGGACAGACAGACAGACTGCGGAGTCTTAGTTATAAGGTCCTGTTATACCCTTTGGGTGCGGAACCCTAAAAAAGAACAATAAATATAGGAGCCGTACCTACACACTATGTTTTATTCCATGGTACGCATTCCATCACGTTGTCTTGAATAATCTTGGCTATCGTTCAAATTTTGTCAATAATTTTCATTCGGAGATCGATATATAACGTCAAATACAGTGAAAAAAAAAAGGTAAAATAACGATAATTGTGCCTGTGTAATCTCATACCTATGATCAAACGCGGTCGTGTTTTTATAGAATAAAAACTTCACTGTAATTTCATCAAACTGATAAAAGTTATGATGACCAGCTGTGGAAGTTATCAACAAAAGTTGGTAGATTTATCGTATTATAAGATGTAATAAATCATTTCCTTCCCAAAATTATATATATAAAATCTACACGCGTGGCGCTTTAATATTCCACAAAATAGAATAATTACTGCACTTTTTAAATTGCAGTAATAACTAGTGTTTAAGTTTTTAGTTTAATTCACGAAGTTTTGAATAATTTACCATTATATCAGATTTTGTATACCATAAATACTAAATCCTAATTTTAATACAGATGATTAAGTGCTACCACCGGCTTAGGATCTTGTTATTTTTTAAATTTAATCCAGACTGAAGTACGCCACCACTGCCAAACTTCAAAATACTTTTAGTAATTTTTTCTAATTAATAACTTCGAAGCTCCTAAAATATACCTTAGACTTTCTCAAGAGTCTTGTCAATTACAATAATTATATAATTTTACTTATAAATCGTGTTTATTAAGAGTTGTTCAGCTAAAGTAGTAACTGCAATCATAATATGTCTATTTAAAAATATGTTTGTTCGAAAATGTGTGCCTTTCTTTAAGTCAATTTTTATGTTTCTACGCAACCATAAGAGTATTAATTGTTATATGTTTGTAAATTATTCCTTCTATAACTGTTTTACAAAGTCAGACTAGGTAACGTAATAACGATAGTTGTATCCAATTTCACTTACAATTTGATAGAGTTCCGATTTGATTTCAACTACGAAATATTTGAAACAACATGTAGGCTATACCTACGTAACATAATTGTCATGTAATGAAAATACTTCATGAAAAAAGTATTGCAGTAAAAACTTACTCCAATATTATTTACATATTTTATAATAATATTCTTTTTAACATAACAGAACTTTAAATAAAAATACGATTTACCTATTTCAATGAGCTTATTTGAAAAATTAAATACAAAAATTACAAAGAAGTTTTCAGTTGATATCTACACAACTATAATTGACTGGATATTACCCATATTTTATTAAAAATAATTAAGTGTAAATAATGGCTAAGCCAATATATACAATAATCCAATTAAAAAAAAAATAAAGTCAATTTCAGAAAATTTGATACTTTGAGATTGAATGTTTTGAGAGTTTTTCCGCAATTGGGTAATGGATTCTGTCCAGGTAGGTTTTTTGTATTGTGGACTGATAGCAATTAAAAATCATCCCATCATGATGGTAATTAAATAAATTATATGTATCTTACTTATAATTTATTCATTTTTTAATTTCGTTTTTTTTGTTAAAGAATAATTCTTGGGAACCGATTATTAGATGGGGTTGGCACAACATATGCTTCTCTTTGACTTTCATCTATTAGACGACATCTCATTACTGAAATTCTACGTAACGTAACAGCCTATGCATGTCCCACAGCTGGGCAAAGGCCTCCTTTATACAGAAGGTATCAAGGCATAGTCCACCACGCGGCCCCACTGCATTATTTCGAAAATATGCAGGTTTCCTCACGATGTTTTCCTTCACCGCTGAGCATATAATTCAGCACTTAAAATTAACAATTTCATTGGTGCTGGTACTGGGGATCGAACTCAGGTTGCTCGAGTATATTGAATTAAAGGCGAACGCCCGGACACTGAGCTATCACGGTATGTGAAGAATGTGTATTCTTCACATATACATTAATCTTCACACACAATCTCAAAAATGTATGTAATTGATCTGGATGTTGTCTACGTGAAATTTATGTGAGTAAAACGTCCTAAAACATGGGATAAGGATGTCCTTCAGTAAGAGATATTATTATAAAAAATAATATTGAATACAATCGAAAACAAAACAATACAAAAGTATACAATTAAAAAATTAAATGTATACTTTTGTGCCCAAGCGGTTCCTTAAATTTTCCACTCACTGAGGAAATAAATTCAAAACACAATGTAAGAACAATTCTAAGAAATAATAAGATTTGGTAAAGGGGCAATTTATTGTGTAAAATATTCACCGTGTGCTTGCCTATTGGATTTATAAAGGCTTTTATATAATAAAGAAATACACAGTAAAAAGTTCTAGTAATGTTATAAAGACAATAATTTACTACAACCTCCAAAAATTCAAAATAATAAAAGAGTCATCGCCTTATGTATAAAACAAGTTTGTATCATTTGAATTCTAACTTAATTTATATCAAATATTTTTTTCAGACGGAATTAAATTATGTGGGTAGTAAGTAACAGGATTATTATATTTATCACTTTCTTGTCCTATATTAGTTTTACCGTTCCACAGTTTACAAGCTGAGATTTATTTTCAAGGCCACTTTCTTTATTGTCACGCCACTTTTGATTGTGCTAACTTTCTTTTAACTTCATTACCTCCAGTTACTTGTGTTATACGAGCTACATACTGTAATGTTATGAAAACTTTAATAAAGGCTTTATTATAATTATTGTAATGTCAAGTAACTGTTGACATAAATATGGAACTTTACTAACCGATTATTTTCTAATTTATAATTAATCGAAGTAAAATCACTAAAAACATATTAAATAGATTTTTTTCCAAATGAAACACACCGAGAAATGGTAAAAAGATCTAAACTATGATGAATGTGAAAACATTGTTTTTTAAATATTTTTTTAATATTTATATATACACACATACACTGTGTCTGTGTGTCTGCGTGGTTGCGTGTATGGTTGTCTGTGTGTACACACTCACACACTCACACACACTCACACACACACACACACAGGCGCGCGCGCGCGCACACGCACACGCACGCACGTACGCACGCCCGCCCGCCCACACGCACGCACGCACGCACGCACGCACGCACGCACGCACGCACGCACGCACGCACGCACGCACGCACGCACGCACGCACGCACGCACGCACGCACGCACGCACGCACGCACGCACGCACGCACGCACGCACGCACGCACGCACGCACGCACGCACGCACGCACGCAATCTCTTATCTATGAAGTTACCTCTTTATAACTTTCAATTACCCGTTTTTTGTACAACAAAGTATCATAATTTCTTTGCAAAAGTAAATGCCGAATACACATAAATAAAATTACATGCATATTATTCGCTAGACTTTGACTGACAACGTGTTTAAGGTCGAAAAAGTGTTTTATAAATAAATTGTTTTTTTTTTTACATATAGGCGATTATAAAATTCACTTGTATTTATAAAACACTAATTTATTGATGCGCTTCGCTTTATATTATGTGTGTATAGTACTATATATTATGCTGTATGTAACAGATCTCAAAAACATGTCGTAGCATTTGACCAAACACGAAATAAAACCTCAATTTGTTGCATTTACAATACGAACACTGCATTTTAGTAAATAAAAAAATGTTACCGATCTTATTGGGATAAATTTTATTTATAAATAAACAAAACTCTGGTTTAACTCGAGACGATAAAGTTCGTCGGTAATTCGAAACACCGTTGCAAACATAAGCTTGATTGCGATATAATGGAGGATTCTATTAAAACTTTGTTTACATGGTGTCGTTTTCACTTACCTCAAATTTGCTTGTATTGGGGTTCATATCCAATAGAGAATACGAGGCAACTCTATCGCCGTTCGCATCTATTATAACTTCTCCTGTTATACCTAGAAGATCGAAGAACATTATTACACATTGCTCAGAATAACACTACTTTTTACTCTAATTTTCAGAATATTTTGGAATACGCGTTTCATTGTAAGTAGCTACGCGCCAAGAATTTTTTTTTTTCAAACCATAATGTTATTTATGAAATTCCAGTGTAATGTTATTTTACTACAAAAGTACTTCAGTAAAGAAAAAGGAAAGTAAAGTAATGTTTTAAAATGAAATTTGACGTCATGAAGTACAATATAATGAATTATTTGGTCCGCAATTGAGCTTTAAAGCTATGACATTGAAATACAAGATAATTTGATATAACTTATGATTCCAAAACAGCTATCAAAGTTATTTGCGATAAATTTTAAAATTTACATTGACCTTCCACTATTTTATAGATATTACTTCCACAGATTTATATAATATTTACGCCCGGTTTCTGAAACACTGATTATCGTAGAAGATAACTAATCAGCTGTCAAACGGCTTTTCAAATGTTATTTGAGTTGCCGAAATGATGGTTAAACTCCCTCTCTCTCTCTCTGAATTGATCAGAATAATCTTCTAAATTATCAGAATGATTAATTTAAAGAGTTTAACCATCTTTTTGGCAACACACATGACATTAACACTTTCCATTATACTACATAATATTCAGTATAATGGTAAGTGTAAAATGATGACTCCGTATCGCAGTTGTCAAGTTATTGGCTTCGGCACCGGGGATCATGGGTTAGATTCCCACTCGAGAAAACTATTTGTGTTGACCCGCAGATAATTGTTCCGGATCGGGTGATGTCTTAAATAAGAAAAGAAAAGCGCAGTATGAAGCTACTAAAAAGCTACAAAATAGAATAAATAGTAGATAAAACAAATTGAATTATGTGTTTGTAGTATTGTCTCACGCAGGGATTGAATTTACATTATTAGGAATTATTACCTCAGACGTGCAAACTATATTTAAGTAGATTTAGAGGATAATGAATAGAGTCATTGTGTATCATAAAATAGCAAAAATCTTTGAGGCTAAGCTTCTACCAAACTTTAGGTTACTATTTTGTTTAATGTTAGAACTAACATGTCGAAAATAAAGTTTAACATTCTATGTAATATACCCAATGAATGTATTTCATCAATTAGTACTATAAAGTGAACTATGTAAAGAAATATTCCTATGTCGCTTGAGACACCTCACGATTCGTGTGTTAAAAAGTTTATAATCAATTTTATTTGTCTTGCGTAAAGTGGAAGCATAATACTTTCGCGTTTCGTCTGGTGAGTGAGGTAGCCGGAGCCCAATTTTCAAAAGGTTGTCAACGCATCTGGAACCCTCGGGTGTACCAGATGTCCATGGGCGGCGGTATTCACTTAACATTAGGTGACCCGTCTGTTCGCTTGGCAACGTTTCATATTTAAAAAAATAGATTCTACCACTTTGCACAGACAACGTAAAATTTCTATTCTTGTTTAATACAAAGAACATCTTTTTGGCCCATATAAAATAACAAAGTTATTTTGAAACACGAACGCTTGTTGTTTGTAATGAGCCAAATGTCTTCTCCACAATTTAGCGAAGACCTCTACCTTGAAAAGTTCTGTTCCACATATTGCGGATAACAGCGGCCCCGTCCAGCTGGCCCCTCGGGTTGTCAGACTGACTCAAAGTGTCATTCAAGGCGAGAGCGTATAATAATACGGCGTCATAAAAAGCAGCCACGAATGTTGAGACCATCTCGCCTTTGCCGAATGTGTAATTGTATTTTGTGGCCGCCAATTCCTTAACCTATAACAGGGGAATAACGTTAGATCTATAAGATCAAAGAAAGGAAAAAAGTATGCTGGTACATTAATAATACTACGGCGATTATTTCGACTATTGTATAGTTTCTGCATCCAAAGCGTATATTTTGTTACTCTTATTATGGCTTTAGAGTAATTAGTATTAGTCTTAAATTGTAAACTTTATTTACTTTATTCTCATGCGATAATTTGCTTTATGAGTCGTTACTCATACATCCAAATTAATTTATATACATAGGCTATTTTTATTTTCGTTTTGTGATCTTTTTGCGTACTCTTTCCTTTTTTATATTTACCTTGTCTGAAAATTCTAAATACTCCTTTTTTTCTGGTGCTGGGCTAGTGACCGTAAGAACTGCACTGTACGCTCGCCTTGCTCTCTCATTTCTTTCTTCTGAATCCCCTTCTATCTTCCACGGTTCTTTTGATGACGCAGACGCTAAGCTGTTTAAAATAATTTTAAACATTAAAGAAAAATGTTACTATTATCAATTTTTTTTGAATCCAATGCAAAATGTATACAATTCAAATGTATTTGAACTTATTCACTAAATAATTATTAAACATTGAGATGTAATTTTACACTGTTTTCATTTATAAAAAGTACGTACTTCGAAAACAGTTCAATGTTGAAAAACACATATTCTCCTGAAGATACCATGTTGAGTTCGTCAGCTGCCAACATAATTTCCCTGACTGTACTAGGATTGGCGCATACCACCACAACTGAAACAAAGTTTAACAATTATGTGTATAACATAATATTTACTATATTTCAATTATCGATATATATAAAATCATTTTAAAGTTTCTCAGTAAATATTAATTAAGTTCTACTAATCTCTAAGATAAATGCATTGATAAATGATTTTAAAAAATATTCAAATTGATTATATACGGATCGAAATAAGAACCCTTCATACAATTACCTTTAAATTCTATCTTTAAATGAAAAAGAGAGGTAGAACTATTTTTAAATAAATGTTTTATTTATTAATCAGTGCAGAGACCGTTATTTTTTTACCAGGTTGTTAGAATAGCTTCTGCCATACATCGACACTAGTTTCGTCCTTATAACACAATTATATTTAATTTAAATAAATGTTTCCATTTATTTTAAGCCACACTTTTACGGACATTTATTCCAAGAATTATATAAACAATTATACTTCAAAGCAAATTGTAAATTCATCAAAACCTTTCGACGCATGAGACACGCATAATTTTTATCGATCCATCGTTCTCAGATAATTTCATTCCACAACATTTATATTTTTCTGAGTATCTAATTAAATTTGATCTACATACAAAACTGACTTAACGTTGAATGGTCGACTCTCCAAACTAACTTTTAATACAAATTGTTTGCAGGAGTAATTGCATCTACAATATAATAGTATTTAAACTGTTAAATAGAAAGCCGCTTGATATCTGAAGTACCGTTCTACATCCTGAAATAAATTATGAAAAAGGTCAAATTTATTAAATAGACGAGAACGTCTATAAAGCAACTCGTTCATCCAAATATTCAATATGAAAGAACATTTCCTCAAATAGATCGTTATCGTGGAATACATCAGCAACATACTATACGTCAAACACTATTATAATTTTCATTGAAAACTTTACATCACAGTAAACCAAGAATAAATACCAAGTCAGTTTATTATTTTCAAAACAATTTTATTTTACATCATTTAAAATATTCGTAATGAATGTATTCAGATAAATGAACGAAACACATTTTTTATAAAAATATGTTAATCGTTGGCCAAATCTTTACAAATTCAATAATTTTAATAACATTAATATACGAAACATGGAGATTAAATAATGAACAAAACTTAAAATATTTTGTTATTTGTAATTCGACGAAAGCGATTGTAATAACTATACATAAATACAAGATCGTATAGTGTTTTGATTGTTTTAGGGTTCCGTACCCAAAAGGTAATACGAGACTTTTACTAAGACTCCACTGTCTGTCTGTCTGTCTGCCCGTCTGTCAACTGGCTGTATCTCATGAACTGTGATAGTTAGACAGTTGAAATGATGTATTTATGTTGCATCTATAACAAAAAATGCTAAAAAAATTTATGGTGGGCATTTAAAAATTTAATGGGGTCTCCCATACAACAGACATGATTTTTTTGCAGAGTTTTATAGATAATGGTACGGAACCGTGCGCGAGTTCGACTCGCACTTGGCCGGTTTTTTCTTTACTTCATATATTACCCCATACTCACTTCTCGTGCTTAACGAGAGTTTCTGTAGCAATTGCTTTATCACAGTCGTGTTAGTGACTGTCTCATCGAACGGTATGTTCGGGATAGACGAGCCGGTGTTTTTCTTTAGCAGAACCGAAAATACAGCACTTAAAGTCAGGTAGCACGGACTGTTCCCTTTGCCTGTCGCTGGATTGTTGTTGTGATATAACATGCCAAGCTTTCGCCAGCTGAACTCCTGAAACAAACGTCAAATGTAACAATAAGTAACTTATATGCATAATTTGCCGCTTGTATCTGTTATGACGGACCATACAGGATGCTCACGTTATGTGCCAAAGTTCTTAGTCATTTTAGGTAGTCATTGAAATAAATTATGCGGATTTTTATGATTAATTTTATTTTAATTTTATTTTTAGCTCTACACTCGATAAATGATTAAAAACTTTCTGCGCCGCGGATTTAAACCTGCATTTTTAAGGTAAGGCGCCAAAACGCTTTGGTATTCTGTAATGCATTATACTCATTATAAAGGAAATAATTAAAATTCACAAAATATAATTTTTTATAATCTCTATAAAATTAATTTAAATTTAAAAAATCCAAATAACAGCGATTAATTGCAATTTAATATTATAATACACATGTCACAATGAGCATGAGGAGAACAAAAAACACAAATAAAGATAAGGCACAAGTATCGAATAGAAATGCAAGGAAGCAGGTAAAAACGTTAAAGTTAATACTGATTACGAAAAATTGTTACATTGTATTGTATTATTATTTTTATTTCTGTACTTTTTGATATTACTTTAGATGTAAGAGTACAAAACCATATTAAGTGTGAATTTTGTTGCTTTAGTCGTTGATAATAAATAATTTAATGAGAATTTATTTTACTAAATTATTTAATATCAACGACAAAGATAGTACCTACATACTATGTAATAAGTCTTATTCTTCACCACTTAAAATCATTTATGATTACAAATGTATTCCTCCAATATATACACGAGTTCACTTTAAATCATAGTCTTAGACATGTATGTTGAGAAAATTAGTTTCAGCCTTATAGACAAAAATAGTAAAAATATACCCGAAACAAAACGCGTATAAATTTGTGCTGCGGGAATTTGACTCGCTGCTTTATCCTGACTGTACATCCTAGAGTCATAATAATTATTTTCTTGAAATGGAAACTATTACATTGATGATATATCATAAGGCCATAAGTTCTCGTAAATGCAACAAACCGTTTTTATTAACTACTAAATTAGAGTAAGAAATAATTTGCATTTTTGACAAAAAAGGCATTTTTTAAATAAAAAAAGCATATTAAAATGTCGGATGTAACGCGAACCATGACGATCTTGGTCAAATTATTATGCAACAGAATTTAGCATTTAGGTGTAATATTCTCCATATTTATGTAAAACCATAAAATCTCTTTGATAAATTTCACCAATGGCGGTCTGACTTTGAGATTAGTTAAATGACATGAACATAAAGTAACTAATAATTACTTAACGTTGACGCTTTCTGCAACCACTTAAACAAATTTCGCAAACATTTACGCTGTAGCTTCTAATGACTGACATTCAAATTAAATTAAAGTCTGTAATATATCGAAATTTGTAAAAAAATGTGTTACATAATTTTTTCTTGGTATGAAGTATAAAACTAAGGATGACAAATACAGTTTTGATATAGAATTATTTTGCATAATGATGTATAATTTATGATATTAAAAAGCAAAACATAAATGAGCATATTCATAAAAATAAAACACATGGGACAAGAAAAAAACGTATTTTAACACAAAATAAATTAACAATGAGCACAATACAACATCCAATACACAAAATTCCAAGTAAAGTTTCCATTACAATTACCTCAAAAACTTTTCTAATGGCCACACCGGCTTGAGTGTAGCTTCCCATCATCCTAGTAAGGGTCAAATAACTTGGATGCTTATATCCGAATGCTTCAGCTTGGGCACCAGCGGTCAATACTGGGATACGCCATTGACCAGCATATCTTGCAACAGGCGCTATTACATATTCACAGCCCGGACCAATAAATGCATCTACAAGATAAATTTCAATATTTTAAGATGTAGCTAAGGTTTAAATAGGAAATATTTATGTAACGTTCAAAATAATAAAATATAAACAATAATTTGCAGATTTGATTAATTGGTTAGCTTTGGTATTTTCTTTATATGGGAACTACTACTTACCAGCTGATCCATTAACATAAAATTCAAAAGCAGCTAGGGGCCCGTCGACCGATGAGCATCTGGTATCTCTGTAATCCACCAGAATTTTCCAACCAGGCAAAGGTCCGTCCTGTTTTGTCACTGCGACTGCAGCCATTTCTACGATTGGCAACACTTTAGCCAACGAGAATACTTGTGTTGGGTCCGCTGATAAGAGAACACCAAATTTAACAATTTTATCTTTAAACTGATGCGTTTCCGGCCTTAAATTAAAATTTGTTCTTTTCACATAATACGGGCTAGTTGCCAAATCGTGTGGATAGCCAATTGCATGAGCATCATCATATATGCTATTTAAAACTAATAGGTTTTTGGGATATTCTGTTGTATTTATGAATTCTTCCTTGTTTTTGTAATAGTCGTAATATTTTTCTACATCTTGAGCACCTCCACTTGAATCCTTTTCTGATTTATCTTCTTCAGATTGTTCATGCAATGGGGCCCATCCTTTTCTTAAACTACTGACTTCCGGTTTTAGATTTCCAAGACCAAGCTTTAATCTTTCTTTCCTAAATGCATTATTCGTTGGCGATTGATAAACGCCTTTATTTATTTTTATATTTAAATCATTTACACTAACATCACACGAAATTATCACATTGAAAATACAAACGTAGAAAACGAGGAATAAAATTGGTCCAGACATTCTCGAGTACCGGATTGTATGATTCAAACAATTTTCAATCTTGTGTGCTTGAGTATTGTCCAAATATTCACCAAATTTTTCAGTACCGTCATTGCTTTCCTCAAATAATACTTTGGGTCGTCTCTTCTTGAAGTTAGCACGGCTGGAATATGCTGTTCTTTTCGCTCTATGTGTCTCTACTACTTTCTTCGGGATAATCGCCGTCACGACCTCCTTTAACATTTTACTATTACAATTTAACTCATTTTCTTGAATCACTGAAGCCTAGTTGTTATCAGAGCACTTGATTTTGAACATTTATCTTAGAAACATAAGGTTATTGCAATGATCGTTGCTACGAGAAATACCAAAAATTATGTTTAGATTGCTTGGTTTTAGTCCAGCGTTATAAACAAATGAGCTGGAGTCGATAACTATTAGAACATTTTCCGCTTATTACTAATATTAATTGATACTATGAAAAATCATGTATTTGATTTCGTCACAATTTGATATTTAGTTTGTAACAAATATTTTATTAAAATCTCAATGAATCATATTTATTCAATATTTGGAAAAAAAAGATCAAACAAGTAAACAAACAGTTTCATTCAAATAAGGCTCAATTTACGACCCATCCGGAAAAGGCTGATGAGGACTTCAATCGTTATAAGTATATATACGTCCAGGGATGTATTCTAATTTTTCTTAGTCACTACATAGTATAAAACAAAGTCGTCCCGCTGTCTGTCTGTCCTTATGTATACTTAGATCTTTAAAACTACGCAACGGATCTGGGTGCGTTTTTTTTACTAGATATAGAGATTCAAGAGGAAGGTTTATATGTATGATATATTACACCCGTGCGAAGCCGGGTCGGGTCACTAGTGTATAATAATATAATAAGATTATTATAACAATTTCAACCACCGGGGAATATCATAAAACAGAGAGTCATTTTAAAGCATATTCATATCGGAGGTTAATAAAATCCGAAATTAATGTGATATTGATATAATCATTTATTACATTTAGTGATAATGTACATTTAATGACTTAAAAAAAAATCATCATCATTTACCGGCGGTAAGATGATATTAAAGTATCCACAAAAATTTGCACATTTGCACTAAACATAATCTATTTTGGTTTCATTTCTTAATGTACCGGTTTGCTAATAAATAGCTGAGCTTGATGCGTCGCAAGTCACCTAATATATCAAAGATTAGACGATTTCTACACAACGCTTGTTTGCTTAGTGGCCGATAAAGCTATAAATAGCTTGTTAAGGTGGTGTAAGACATTTTAAAGTTTCGGTTTATATATTTATTTTAAAATAAATCCGCAGCATCCATTAATTTATAACTTTAAAAAGTGTACTTTGAGAAGTACTTTTTGTTTGAGGAAGTTTCTTTTATTACACGTTATTGTTTCGTTTATGCATGAGAAGCAATTTAATATTAATAAAACGTTTATTTGTCTGAATCTATATGCAAAAAAAATATATTTTTCTTTTCTTCCCATTTATTACAATTCATTTATGAGGATAACTCGGTAGGCCTTATCTTCATAAATGCAAAGGTTTTTGTTACCTCTATGCCTCTCAGAACACAACCTTCAATTTCGTATGACTAAAAATGGGAATAGATTATTTGGGAATTTAATTTGACTTTGTACAAATCAACATATTACAACAGAGAGCACCCTTCCCTTCCGATACCCGATCGTTTAAAGCAGGCTTACTTAAACTTACTCATATTTGCCACCAAGATGTTACAGTAATAAAGTTTGCGATAAAACGAAAATTTTAGGGATCAGCGCTACGTCTCCATCCTCAAACGATTACTCAACCGACATACCGATTTTATATATATGTCCAAATCGCTTTTTGGATATCGATATCGATTATTGCCTTCGGAAATTTAGATGTATGGAACGCGTATAAGAATGCATGGGTAATTTCATTTTCTAAACAAAAAGTTTCGACATTTGCAAAAGACGGAGTAAAACCGATCATATCGCTGTCTGCGTATATTATATATAAAGTTGCACTATCTGATCTCATACGTATATACTCGTATTGTGTCGAGGATATGTTATAGTTTTTGTTAATAATTTGTTTTTTGTTATACTTTATTTTTGATTTTATTGTACTTAAATTTTTATATTCCTATTTTATTGTTTTTATTTTATTTCAATGTTATTTTTGTTGGCTGTATGCATGGAGCTGAACGGAAATCTTACAAGGTATCCGCAGAAAAGCAGTTCCGTGGTATTATCTGCCACGGCTATACACTGAGACCTTTTTGATGCATACATTTATTCTTTTCTTTTTATTCTTTTTTTTTTAAAAAAAAACATTGCCCTTACTTTAGGATAACATTATCCTGTGCTGTAAGAACGTTTTACAAACATAAATTTCACGTGGACAAACATCCAGATACGAAACAACTATCTGTGGGTCACACAAATAGTTGTCCCGTGTGGGAATCGAACCCACGACCCCCGACGCCGAAGCCAATACCTTGGCAACTGCGCCACGGAGTCATCATTTTTACAATTCTAGTGTTATTTCTTGTTCCTTATTTTTCTCCTATAATGTAATGCGCCAAATAAATATTTCTTTCTCTCAATGGAACTATAAAGGGAATGCTATTTAGCAGTATTTAGAAACGTGATTTTTAAATTAAGATGTCATATCTTTTTTTTTTTCCAAAGGAAGTTCGTATTTTAATGCTTTGACTGCTTGTTGAACTCGTTGATTTAATCACACAGTGAACCACGTATCATGTGAAGTTTTGTGCAATCGGTAATACTTAAATACACATTTTGTAAATCTAATTTTTAATGGTACATAATAAAAGTGTAACCGTTCCGTTCTGCTTCGTTTGCTAAGCTGAACTCATTAACTTTTACTTAATTAGCTGGCAACAAAGAAACGGTTCTTGATAAGATCGATACAGAAAAAAAAAAACCTAAAAGCGAGTTAAAATAAGAAGGCAGCAAAAAAGTGTGTCTCATAATTATTATCATCAGACGCTCATTTGCATGCTATAAATATATACATTCGGGCTTTCACAGGATTTTTATGCGATGACTATATATAATGGATCTATAAGTAAAACATATACAATTTTTTTATCATTATATTATACAATTTTGAAAATTTTCAAAATTAAAACTGAATCTTATTTTTCAGTAAGTACCTACTATGACATTGATTCAAAAATTTTAGCCGCAACAACTAAACATGAAGTATGCTATTTGTTTATATCAGAATATTTTAATATAAAAATTCATGAGCCGTGATAGCTCACTGTCCGGGCGCTCTCCTTTAATTCTTTAATTTACTCGAGCAAACGGAGTTCGATCACCGGTGCCAGCACCAATGAAATTGTTAATTATAAGTGCTGACTTATCACGTGCTCGGCGGTGAAGGAAAACACCGTGAGGAAACCTGCATATTTTCGAAATAATAACAAAAAAAAAATATTTCGAAATTATGTGAAGTCCGCCAATCCGCAGTGGGGCCGCATGGTGGACTATGCCCAGCAGTGGGTCATTTATAGGCTGTTACTTTTATAAATTGTCGAAAAGTTCTCCACTATCTGGATTCGAATACGCGCCTGCGTTCCTGATAGATGGGTCAACAGGTCTTGGCACCCTAAGCTAAGCGGTCTATATCCTCACCACACGAATATCTCGATGACTTATTGCATTTTATGAGTATAACTAAATACAAAATGCCTAAAATAACAGGAAATAAATTAGAGGGAAATTAAGTCACAAAGTCAAAATAAATATGATACGATACACAAAATAACTTTCATAAATATGAAACCAACGAGGTACTGCGACTTTCGGATTCTTAATTGCAGAAACAATTTATTAAAAATTGATTTTTGTTAACGGTGACAGAACAACCCATTTTCAGAGGGAAGGAAGCAACGTACATATATGTGTATTATTTTATGTCAAACAAACATTCCCCCTTAATACGCTACTTGCGCGCTATTACCAAGGAGAATTCTTTACATTTGCTTCCAAAATAAGAATTTCATTTTAAAGCACAGCTCAAATTGTTTTTCTAATCAACAGATTGAGATGAAACTTCGCGCTTTTCAGACATACACTTTCTTAGAAATTTAAATTGTTTATAGTGCTAATCTTTGCACTTAAGATTGAACATTAAAATATGTAGAAAAAGTGCTAAAAGATTGTCGCCGCTGTGGGAATCGAACCCACGTCTTCGGCATTCGCGGCCTGACGCTCTAGCCACTGAGCTAAACGGCTGATTGCCACACCGACGGCGATAGTGATAATGAAATGTAGTGGTGGGAAACAAAGTTTTGAGAAATATATATATATAAATAGGGTGTTGCCAATGAATAATGTTAAACACTTGGGTGGTGCCAATGTACTTATAAATGGGGACGAGTTAGGCCTTGTGGATACCACTGTTTTTCTAGGAA